GTTTCCCCTGAAGCACAACAGCATTGTGGCATATGTCGGGTGGCAAACGGCTCACAGACTCACCTGAACAGCATCCCTGGTGAGGATGAAGGGTTTCATGGGTCGCCTGCCCGGCTGAGAGGGCTGCTTGGCGCCCGGCTTCAGGATGTCCATGTTTCGGAGGATCTCCGCCTCCTGGTCGATGCTCTCTATTTCCTCCAGACACACCGTGACCCACCTCCGGACGTTGAGGAGGTAAAAATCTCTGCTGACCTCGTCGTCGGCCTGCCCGCTCTCCACGACCCTCTTCGCGTCCGACAGTTTGGCCTCGATGTCCTTCTTCTGTCGATACCGCTCGATCTTCGACTGCCTCTGTGCTGCCATGGCAACCAGGTCGGCTGGATTTACAGGCTGCACACAAAGTATACATTCCAGTGAGTATAAATGTCATTCAGTGATTCTTTTCTGCCCTTTTGCCTCCTCCACATGTGCTCTAGATGTATACTAGCATAAAAAAGGAAAACCATGGAGAGGTTGGGACCCTACAGCAGAGAGCTGAAAGTCTCAGACCAATAGTACAAACAGAGACACAACATTTTAGGGATAGGAAATGAAACAGCCCAGAAACATGGCACCTCATGTCATCGCTATGGCGGTAACCATTAGGTTTTGTTATGTAAAGAAACCATTCAGTCGCTTAATATAAAGAACATAAGGAACAGGACGGCACACTGGTTGAACTTGGTTTAACTCATATGAATAGAAGACTTTGACCTGTCCAGCTTGGGACCATATGAAAGAACTCCAGTCACAGCTTCAGGAGTCGTGACCGATCCCCTGCTAAAACTAGATACTCCAATTCAGTCCAGGCTAACAACACGCAACCCATCTCATACGAGATTGGTGCTGCAGAATTCTGTAGATAGATGTGAGTTTTGTAAATTTACACACACACATATAGGGCTTTTCACACATATAGGGCTTTACACCGCGTGTCATTCCCCATTCACACACAACTTCACACACTGGTTGCACCAGTGGGCACACGAGATGCAACCAGTAGGCAACTTGGGGTTCAGTGCCTTGCCCAAGGACTCTTCCACATGTGGTCTGGAGGGGCCACAGCCGCCCTTGTATCATTTCGCTGAACAAATCAACCAGCCAGCCTAAAGTAAAGATCCACAAAGGGGACACTTCTCATCTCCTTGTGATGTTATGCTAGCATTCCCCCCATCTTAGCACCCAAGAGAGGGCCCATTGAGCACATAAAGTGTTGGACATCGTCTGGGAGGTCTGCAAAGGGGGTCCAATTGCTCAGTCTTGTTGGTTGGGACCGGGTAGGCGTGTCGTTTCGTTCCCCCGGACCTACCTTGGCTTTGGGGCATCCATTTTCAGGGGCTCCCTTGCTAGCTCCGCTTTCCTCGGGGGCGTCCGGCGGCAGTTGGAACTGCGCCACGTTGTATTCGTGACACCTCTTTAGGAAGTCCGCGAAGTAGGCCCGGGCCGTCCGGATAGTGTCCAGACGTTTTTCCCTGCTGGTCTGCTTCATGTGGAGGGCCCCCAGCAGCGCGGGCAGCAGCAGGTACCGCAGGTCCGCCGTGGCCACCTCCTCCAGCTCCTCGTTGCGGCTGAACAGATCCAGCTGAGCCACCATTCTGGACGCCTCTTCCAGCATGCCAACGCCGCGTTTAACCCTCACCTGGATGCTGTTGGAGCCCAGAGGCTCGCTCGTACTGTCCACCTCTTCGAATATTTTCCAGCCACGGTCGAGTAATTCAGATAATTTCAAAGTGTCAGTGTCTGACTGCGGCTGCGACGCGCCGTTGCAGCTCTCGCTTTCCGCCATCTTGTAACGTTTTCCTGGTCCGGTCTCTCTTTGCTTTCCTTACGTTTAACGACAGGGTTTTTCTTTTAAATTGCCCCCACTGTAAGCGTCTCAGGCGGAATGGCTCTGTCACTTGACCCGGTTGAGATGAAGCAGACTTTCGTAGAACGGAGCTAACTTCCTTTGTGTGACTGCGCTCATCTTTCCAGGAGCTGTCACACGGGAAGCGTGGTGACGTTTTGAGATCATTAGCCAATCAGAACGAGAGAGTCATGGCTCCGCCCACTTGTTTTTCAGGAAGAAATCGGGGGCAGCCAATGAGAATGACGTAGGTGGCTGACATTTTTCAAACAAAAAAAAAAAACCTTGAAGAGAGTTTATTCAGACATTTATGTTATAGATGTCGTTTTAATCTTTAAGATATCAGCTTATTCCTCCCAGGCGAGCAGAGCACGAACAAGAGTCTGCTTGGTGCGCATGCGTGGTATTGTGTCAATACAAACGCAAAGTCCGGGCCGACACCGGCTCCGGCCGCCAGAGGGCAGCACCTCCTCCGTGTGTTACGTAGAAAAAGACAAGTATGCGGAAGTGTTGGAGCCATCTCTGTTGACATTTACATGGACATACATATCTATGTCTGCTGACGCGTAGTGGAGGCTCCGGCTAAGTAATGGAGAGCCCGGAGCTGTCTTTTACTCTGGCCTACTTTGTGTTTGCTCTCTGCTTTATATTTACGCCCAACGAGTTCCGCGCGGCCGGCCTGACCATCCAGAATGTGTTCGCGTCCTGGCTGGGGAGTGAGGACGTTGGCTTCATTCAGTACCACCTCAAGAGGACCAGCATTACCGTACTGGTCCATTCTGCGCTGCCTTTAGGTCTGCCTACGAGTCTTAACATTTCCATCTCCCTTTTGAGCAGAGGTGCACTGACGGCATGACGTCACCTGCGCTGTCCTGCCGGGTGTGGGTCACCTGGTAGGGGCTGTTGTGTGTCTGTTGTGTGTCTGTTGGGTCCACCGCGAGATGGACGGGGTGTTTGAGCTGCATGTGGGTGTCTGGGAGAGCTCACCCTGTTGCCCTTCATTCATAGCCGTGTGTGTCTTTCTTCTCTTCAGGTTACTACCTGGGAATGTGCATCGCTGCCCCAGAGAAGAATCTGGCCTACATTCACCAGGTCAGCTCATCTCTCTCTCTCTAGACGTGTATTGAATTTACTTGGTGGATTACTGACAGTTCCACAAGAGTGACAGGAGGTCAGACTAGTGCCTGGGAGGTTTACCAGGAGCTGTCAGTGATGCTTTTTGACCGTCTGTGCGGCTCCAGTCCCGCTCTTATCTGCTTTTGTGCCATTGTGGGTATCAAAATCAAACTTTAATTGGTGACTAGTTAGTCCTAGAGGACGTTAAAATAAAAATATTTCCTCATAGCTCATGCCCACCCATTCCAAACTAAGCACGTGCATAAGTTTGGCCACGTGACGCTGTCCTGACAGTAAGAGAAGTAGCACGGTGGGGGGGTTAGCATGGTGGGGTGGTGTGCAGCTTAACGTCAGAGTAACCGGGCTATAGCAGTGGACTGTTTCAGTGGACTGTTCCTTAAATAATGACTGTAAGTTTTAGTTAAATGATCAAATAATCATTTTGTTTCTGAGAAGTCATCATACTGTGCCCTTTTGTTTTCTACGTCTCTGTCCAATAAAGTATCAGAACAGAAGGGGTTTGATTAGCATATCCCCTTCCAGGGGTTTTTCCGTTTGGTTCTGGTCATCTTTGTGTGTCTCCAGGTGAGCGAGGGCTGGTGGGCCTTCCTCCTCCTGTCCGTGGGCCTCCAGCTGGGCAGCTGGACGCTGGTGGTTTACTGGTCCTGCTGGCGCTGGCACCAGCACCCCATCAGCAGGACCCTGCAGGCCCACGCGCGGCCCCCCCACCCCCACTGGGGCAGCGTGGCCTCCAGCGTCAACACCGAGTTCAGGCGGATAGACAAGTTCGCCACGGGGGTCCCCGGAGCCAGAGTCATCGTCACCGACAGCTGGGTGATGAAGGTGAGCGGGAGGCCTCGCTGTGCCACCAGATGACCCCAGGTTTAAGTGGACAACCGGCACTTTGTGGATACATTGGGATACTCCCATGGATATCTGCAGCAACTTTTTGGTGAAAAAACGCAAAGGCCGTGCAGCAGTTTCTGTTTTTCTACAAAGGATCATCAGAGAGTGGCAGCTGTCAGAGCAGAGGTTCTTAGCCTTTTTTGAGGTACCGAACCCACCAGGTTCAGATGCGCATTCACCGAACCCGTCTTTAGTGAAAAGTAAAATAGGATTTTGTTTTTTTACTTGTGAACAAAATGAGCCGTACATGAACATCACCTTGCTCAGAGAACAAAACCAACACAGTGCATGAACTCACAGCAAATGACGGTATTACTTTATTCTGACCCCCCAAAAAAATATTTCAGCCCAATAAAAGAATTTCAGACCCCAAAAATAATTTGTTACTATTTTATTAATTAATGATACATTTGGATGTTTTAAAAGAATTTCACATTTTCAATACTTACATTTTTTTTTTTCTAATCTAATTTGTTTTTTGTTGTTGGGAATCCGGAAAATACTTTTTTGGGGCCCGAATAAGAAGTTTTTCCTTTAGTTTGCTCAGCTTGGCATCACGCAGACAGGACTCTGACTCTCATCCCGTTCCGTGTTCCGTAGGGGTCCAGGTGGGAAATGACAGACTATGGAAAACTTTTCTGTTTATCCCATCCTATTAATGACTTGAAGCGAACAGTTGCCAGGCAACCCGAGAGGCCGAGAAACGGGAAAACGTTTCTCCTCCCAAAAAAACATACGAGAACATGAGCTCTTAGAAAATATGCTTTTCTCTCACTGAGAAGCACAACAATGATTTTTTTTCTGTCCTCCTTTGTGGTCTGAGCTCGTCCACTCTGTTTGCTGGGGCTCTGACATTCCTGGAGACTGTCGATGGGAAACCTGACCTGAGCCTCCTGCTGTTTGTCCTTCCTTCTGCACAGCCACCATGTTTCCTCCTCCAAATTCTCTGAAATGGACGTGGAGTTGTTTGCTTTTCTTTACCAGATTGCAGTGTTTCCCTGGTAGCCAACCTCAGAAAGAGCCTAATTTCTATTGGATCCCAGCTTAACTATTACAAGGCTTGCTTAGATGTTTTTAAAAAGAAACAGAAAACTGTTTTGACCTGATAAAGAACAATGTCCCACACGTGCCATTTTCCAGTATTCTGCGTTCGCGCGGTCGGTTTAGAAAATTCCAAGTTAATGACGAAGGAAAGAGCTTTTCCCTTTATTCATCCACACTTTCCTGTCGATTCCCACCTCCAGGTGACCACGTACCACGTCTACCTGGCCTTGCAGAGCGACTGCCATTTGACGGTGACCGAGTCCAGGCAGCACGAACTGAGTCCCGACTCGGCCTCGCCCATAGAGATCTTGACCCTGAGAGTGGAAAGCATCAATCCTGCCGTCAGTGCCTTCAGTATCAGGTGTGTGTGTGTGTGCATGACAGCACCTCCAAACACTACAGCCCACAAGCCCAACCGACAGACCCAAAAAGCCCCAAAAGTTTAGGACACAGAGGCCATTTTTCCACTGAGTCGCTAACAAATTATTGTGACCAAAAGATGGGCCACTTCATGCCCTCAGGCGTGTGTGGTGCTACAGGAAGGCGTGCCGGATTAGGCTAACAATGGAGGCTAACTCTACCGTTGCAGGACATTCGGCCTCTTTGCGTCCAGCCTCCTGGTTTGCTTTAGCTGGACGCTGAACATGTGGTCATCTTTTGGCACAGATGTGTAAACATATCCACGTACAGTAGAACCTCTACGTACAAATTTAATTCATTCCAGGACCTACTTCGTATGTTAAAATATTCGTATGTTGGTTCAAATATTCCCATAAGAATACACTGTAATTCGTATAGTTTGTTCCACAGCCCAAAAACCTATGATAAATCCTTAATAAATACTGCATATAATTACGCATAGCAATAAAACTAATGCATTAAATAAGAGAGATGTAAAAAGAAATGAATTCTGAAGAAATAAAGGGGATTTTATTGGCACTTATTGGCGAAAGGAGGTAGAGGTGGAGACTGAGATACAGCATGTACCGTAACTTACTCTAACTTTCACTACGTGAACTTTAAACTAACTTGGCTTATTTATTTTTATTAGATTTTGCATATTTTATATTTACGCAACGCTTCGAGAAAAACTTCGACGTATGTTGGAAATTTGCTTTGGAATATTTGATTGAATTTCACTTCGAAGGTTGGAAAATTCGTATGTTTTGGCAATCGGAAGTAGAGATTCTGTTGTATATGCACATGAGGAAAACCTCATTATGGAAAGGTCAAAGTAATCCGCACAGAGAGCGACAGGCCCCAGCGTTGGGATTGTGGAGGCCGGCGGAAATCGGACGGCAATCCCCCCCCCCC